CGTTGATGTCTCTCTCCCTCTCACTTCCTCTCTGAAATCAATAAGAATATATTTTTCTTAAAAAGACCACTGGTACAACTTGGGAATAAAGGACAGATTTCTAAAGGAGGATGAGACGCAGGCGTAACAGGAGGCGTCTGTCATGTGTTCACAGAATGATTGTGGGTCACCCTGTTGGTAAGTGAGGAGCCTGCTGTGGATCAGGTTTGGGGTGAGCAGGAGTCAGGCCACTGGAGTGGGCATTTCAAGGGCCACACGTCTGGATGTGGCTCTTACATCCTGTCCTCAGAAGGTGCAGCCTGGTCCCCTCCCTGGAGTGGGGCCACCACTCCCCCCTTGGCCATCATCACTGAGGACACCCACCCAGTCCCAAGAGATGTGGTGAGGGTGGGGGAGGCTCTCTAGACTCGGGCTGCAGTGGCCAAACCACTTGTCCGCCAGGCCAGGGTTTCCAGCAGCTCACCAGCCATCCCTGACGGCCACGCCCAGCAGTACTGACCCCTTCCTGGGGTCATCAGGGAGCCACCAGCCCTGCCTGTCCTTGAGAACTTGTTCCTGTTTGTCCCTAATCCTGCCTGCTGTGCTGTGTCCCCCTAGCCCCTCCATTTTAGCCCCTGGGACTGCGAGGTCCTCACACGTCCAGCGCAGATGACACTGGCTTCTCTGAGGCCTGAGTAGCCCCTCCTTGTGCCCAGAGCCCCGACCATGGGGTGAACCAGGGGATCCAGCAGCTTCCGGGGGCGGTGGGCAGGAGCAGGCAGGTCTACATCCTGCATCCTAGTTCTTTGAGGCAGCGGAGCTGCGACCATCCCTGACTCAGTGTCAGAAAAAAGAGAGGAAGCAGCGCAGTAGCATCCCTACAGTAAGGAAGGCACGCCAGAAAGACACCCAGCAGACAGACAGGCTCCTGGTGGTCACGTGGAGGGAGAGGAGGTCAGGTGACCAGAGGCAGGACCCAGCCCGGCCGGCGTGGCCCCGGGGTTGGCATTGACCTATGAACCAGGAGGTCATGGTGATTCCCAGTCAGGGCCCAGGCCCGGATTGTGGGCTTGTGTGCCCAGTCAGGGCCAGCTGGGGGCCGTGTCCGTTGCATGACCACAGAATGACTGTGGTGAGGAACGTGCCATGGATCAGGTTGGGGTGAGCAGGAGTCTGGCCATCTTAGTGGGGATTTCAAGAAGGGTCCCATGCCTGGAGCTTCAGCAGGTGAGGCTGGGACACAGCCCTGGGGTATTGGCCTGGAGGGCACTTCAAGTGGCCGCATGGACAGCAGTAACAATGGCCTCCGTGGCGGTCTCCCGTAGGCCCGTGACCAGGCCCCATTCCCATCTCCACCTTAAAGATGAGGAATCAGGCCCTTCGGTGTTCCTACCCGAGCAGTTATTTCTATCTGTGTCAGAGAATGAGCTTCAGTGTCTGCAGGCACCAGCCAGGTGAAGCCTCCATCACAGGCCAGGCCCCTGGACCCACCTCCAGGGACAAGAAGCCGGGGGGTCACAGGTGAGCAGCAGGTCACCACCAGCGCAGTCCCAGCGGGAGTGGCCACAGAAGAGCAGAGGCAGTGATCAGAGGGAGGAGGGGGTGGGGAGGCTCCGCTGGCAGGTGGGGCTGGCGGGGCCTGGACCAGGTGGATCAGAGGGGCTGGGGGGCAGAGCCTGGGAGGATGATGGACCCTGGGCGGGGTGGGGGGGAGTGGGCTTGGGAGCATAGGTGTTTGGCTGGCCACCAGGTGCAGGCCGTCTCCCAGGCCCAGCTGACCGCTCTGGGCAGGTGGTGCCTCCAGCCTCCATGAGCCCCTGGCACAGAGCCCTGCACTCCCACCTCTGGAGAAGGCTGCGGGTCAGGGTGACCAGCCTCCCCATTGGCGGCTGAACAGGTTTGTGGTTTTAGTGGGTGGACTTGAGCCCATAACCAGGGCCCAAGTCAGGTGGAGGGCCAGGAGGGCAGACAGCAGGGAGCCTGACAGGGGCTGAGGGGGCTCCCCCTGCCCCCTAAAGAAGACGACACTTGAGTGCCCTTCACAGGTGGCCTGAGACAGGCTCGCCATCTGGCTGCTGGAAGTAGAACCCTGCCCACCCCCCCACACACGGCTGCACCCCTCCTCCTCCCCTAGAGGATGAGTCACTCCAGAGCCTGCCCCCCCACCCCTTCCTGGCTGGATTTTGCTCCTCAGGGTCACAGCAGCTCCAGGATCTCAAGGACGGAGGAGGTGGGGGAGGGCCCAGTGAGGGTGGGTGGCGAGCTAGTGCATGTCACACAGGAGCCCCACGGTACCCTGTCCCCCCACCCAGCTCTAGCACTGCACTGGAGGGCAGGTAGGGAGGGGCCCTTCCTTGAGCTCCCAGTAGCTGCCTGTCAGCCCCAGTGCTCACTGAGCCTGGCTACTTCTCACTACAGCAGGTGCTGCCCCCAACCTCACACCCCGCACTGCAGGGCCAGATGTTTCCCCATCTGAGGGTGCACAGCTTGCCTGTCTCTGCTTCAAGGGCAGGGGCTGGGCACCCAGCCTGGGGCTGGCTGGACCTGACCAGGCAAAGGCTCCAGGGCTAGCCACTGGGCTGCTGGTGCCGCTCCAGGAGCTGGGAAGAAAGGGGCCCAGCCCCC